AGTCCTAGCAGATACAAAGTGCCTGTCATCAGACGCAAGGCATCTTTTCTGAAAGCATATTCTAGTTCAGGTAATAGAACCTGACAGACACTCTAGGTACTATTACAGTGTCGGTAGAAGGCTTCCAATAATTTAAGTGAAAAGCAGAGGATTTTACAAATATACTAGCTTGTGATGGTTTCAAATAAACATAAAAATATTGTTTTCAATTTGATTTCCTAGATGAAACATTTCCATACATAAACTTCCTTGGGTATATTTTTAAAAGCATTAAACAGTTGTCAGTCTCCATAAACACACTTTTAAGCTGTTAGTTGTATGTAGCATGGCTAAAATGAAAACTGGCTGCTTTGGGCACTGATGTTAAAAATAATCTGTACAGACATAGAGTGTGTGACGTATTGCTGAAGCATTAGAAAATGCAATCTTTAGTTTGCTTTTGCACAGGGTTACACATAAAACTAATGGGACTGAAACTCAAATCCTTTTCTGAATTACTCTGTATTATTAAGATTTTAAAAGTATACTCTCTAAATGTGCTTAAATGCTATGAGCACATCTAATAATGAAATGTTACATTATTTAAGTCCAAAATAGTAGTATTTATTTATTATTTCCTAATGAATGGGCTAAGGAGGTTTCAAAAAGCAGTTATTGACCTAGTAAGTCCACTACCAGGACTCTCAGTGAAATAGGTCAGAAAATTCATAAATGATGTAGGGCACTTTGTTGTTGTTGAGACAGGGTTTTGCTATGTAGCTCAGGCTGGCCTTGAAAGCCCAATCCTCCTGCTTCAGCCTCCCAAGTGCTGGGACTACAGGCTAGCATTGTTTTTCACTTATGAAAAAAATCTGAGAGCACTTAGCAATGCTTTGGAAAGGCGTAAGTAAATGAGCCACTGTATATCTTTCAAGTTGAACATTATTCTTTTAAAAATGAGCAGCAGACGGATGTGCTGATAAGCGAGGGTATCCTTGATACTGTGTTGAGTAGAAAGCCAGCTGCATCAGTGTGTCAAGTGCCATACCACTTAAGAGAACAGAAGGAACTCTTGCTCCCCACCTCCTCTGTCCCTGCACGAACATGGAAAACAGGCTGGAGGCACACCCCCAGACAACCTCTGGGTGTGAAGACCAGAGAGAACAAGGAAGAAGAGCTGGTTTTTGTTTTATATACATCTATACTATGTGAATTTAGATTCTGTACTGTTATGGACACTGAATGAACAACCCGATTAAATAATCTTAAAAGGAAATCTCCATGTTATAGAAAGGATCAGATGAAAAGAGATAAATGCACTGGAAATTTCTAACAAAGAAGCGTGGCTTCCTTGCAGCTAACCCTAACACTTTGAGCATTTGTGTCTCCAGGTATTTTAACAACCTCAAAGCATGGTGCACGTGCCTGCCGTCTGTGTCACCTTAGGCAGCAGCCGTGGTCTTCCATTGGTTTCCTGGTGCTGTATTTCCTGTATTTCAAACCAGCTCATAAATTATTAATCGTACATGTGTAGGTCAGAGGCACACTGACCCTGACAATCATTCTATAATATTCTCTCTTTAGCACTCAAAGAGAAGAGAAGGGAGCAATCAATATGCAACATCAGAGGTACATCTCACATAGATACGGTGCATGCACTGGGGGAAAAAAAGAGTTGGATCTTTACAAAAACCTGTCAGCCTGGCATTAATCTTGTATTATGAATAATGTGGCTATCTATGAATCTTTAATATTTTTTAAATGATGAAATTGTATGGTATGCTCTACCAAAGCAAATCTGATAAAATGTGAGAATAGTTTGATCAATGAAGATGTTTATATAATGACTAAAAACCTTAAACCTAGCTTAGGAAAGTGGAATAAGCAGCATCTCTAATTTGACCTCAGGGTAAACTTGGAGCCCAAAGAAATTGAGTTGCCTATAATGCCTAGAGATTATCCTTTAATTTAACATGCCAATATTTAATAAAAATATTGTTTGGTTAAAACCATCATTTCATAAGCCAGAAAATCTCTGGCAAAACACTACTAGCAACCAATATGGTACTGGTTTGTAGCCCATAATAAAAACTGCATTTGAAAACCAACAAACACACAGATTAATGTTTTATATAAGATACATGAGTACCATGAAAGACTGTGAATCCAATGGTTTGTTGAAATGCTACTATATTCACTTTTTTCCATGAAGTAATCCTGGACTAATTTATTCCAGGTTTAATTTTTGATGAAAGTAAAAGCAGACCAAGAACTTTGCTCATGAAATTTGCCTAATGAAAAAATTTTAATCAGTGCTTGTTGAACTGAAGATAAAAATATAGTTTGTTTCAACAGATTTGAGGAGAATTAACATGTATCTGATTGTTAATATTTGATTCTTGCTTAATTATTTATGATATCAAGGAATGAATCTGTCAAGTAAATAATGAAATGCGTATACGCGGCATATGTAATTAGGTTAGGTGCATAAATCCAAAGTGTTCGCTTTAGAGTTGTCAGTGCAAAATTTATTAATAATGAGAAATGTTAAGTGAAGAAAGTTCCTAACACATTCTACCTCATTAGTGGGGATCATGGCAATTGTTGGTCAAAGAAGAAGAAGGAGGAGGAGGAGGAGAGGAAGAAGAAAAGTGGTGGTTAGACTTCATTTCCTTAGCTGTGCTTTAATGGTTTGAAAATCTTAGTGAATTGGAGCAGGCTTTGGTTCCTCCTGTTCAGAGATAAATAACCTGAACAAATGGCTTGTGGGTTTGAATGAATGCTGCAAATGGACAAGCTCCTTACTGAAAAAAAAAAAAAAAAAAAAAAAAAGAGGCCCCAGGGCATCTAAAGCTAAACATTAATGGGGGAGGGGATCCAAATAACATTTGAGAACTAAAAACCTATTCTTTTGAGGTGGGGATACAGCTCAATGGTGGAGCACTTATCTGGCATGTGCAAAGCCCTGGGTTCCATCCCAGCACCACAAAATAAAAGCAAACCCAAAACCTCCTACTCTTAGAATTGAACTGTTAGAATCTCACCTTAAGATTTGACTTTAAACCCACTTTGAAGGTGAGAAGATGGTTAGCAATGCATTCTTTTTTTGGGGGGGTCTTTTTGAAATAGGATCTCCCTGCAGCCCGAGCTGGCCTTGAACTCATAGAGACCCTCCTGCCTCTGCCTCCTGAGTGCTTTAAAGGCATGTGCCACCACACCTGGTAGCAATGCATTCTTACCTACACACTTCCATTTAGTTTTTTTTTTTTTCCCCTCATGCTTCATGGGCAGAACTGGACTGGAATCAACAGCCTGGCCAAGTATGCCCTTGAGCTCCTGGTTTGAAGAGAATTTGGAACCAGCGAGACTCAGGGAGCAGATGAGACCTTCAGGGACCTGTGACTGAGGAGTGGGCAGGTAGAGAGTAGGATTCTTGGGTATGACAGGCTGGAGGTTAGAGGATATACTCTGTCCCCAGAGTACAATGTAAGTCCTGCCCCTACAGAGATGTGACTGAGTGGGTGACATTACCTCGAGTTAAGGTAAGGCTGGAGTTAGGGCTGGAGAGATGGCTCAGCGGTTAAGGTTCTGCTCTTGCAGAGGACCTAGGTTCAGTTCCCAGCACTCACATGGTGGCTAATAACTGTCCATAACCCCAGTTCCAGGGCATCTAACATCCTCTTCTGACCTCCTCAGACATTGCATGACACGGGTGCACTTACACATTTGTAGGCAATACACTCATACACGTAAAATAAAAATAATAAAGTAAAATAAGGTAACCATCAAAAGCATTGAAAAAATAGAGGCTGTGACATAAGGACCAACAAGAAGACAAGGTAATGTGATCACACTCTGACATTTTATTTATTTGTATTTTTTAATGTATATGAGTTTTTGCCTGCATGTATTTAAGTGCACCCATGTCATGCAATTCCTGCAGAGGACAGAAGAGGGTGTCAGATCCCCTGGAACTGGAGTTATGAATGGTTATGTGGTTTCTGGGATTCAAACCTGGATCTTCTGCAAGAACAGCCAGGGCTCTTAACCACTGAGGCATCTCTCCAGCCCCTCACATTCTGACATTAACTAGCATAACTTCCAGAAAGCTCTCTAAACTCTAGGGTCTCCTTTTCTTCACTAGCTCTAATGGTCTCTGAGTCACAGAGATGGGGTTACAGTACATCAGACTCTATGTAAGCAATTCATGGTGGTCTCGAAAGCAAGGAGCAAGAGAGATAGCATTGAATGAACACTGTTACCTGACTATTGTTATAGGAGGCAGCTATACATTTGCCAAGTATTGCTGAGACCAAACACTAAGTAACAGCATTTAATGGTACCATATGTGACAAATGAGAAGGGTTTGTTGGAAGAAGTGAGTCAGTTGGAACCTAGAAGGATCCGCAGTATTTAAACAGTTGAAGATGGAGTTCAAGAGCATGCTAGAAAATGTGGGCGTCCAACATACCGTGTCATGGGAGAGGAAATGCAGCAACATGCTTTTGGGGTGCACATAATATGGTTAGGATGGTGGTAGGACAAATAAGGCTGGGTTAGGCAAAAGTTGGGAGACTCGTAAAGGTTTTGCTCAGGAATTTGGGTTTCTTCCCTCGGCAGTGAGAAACAATTGAAGTAGTCATGGCTTGCCTCCAAATGAATTAATAAAGCACGTGGTACCTGTTTGTACATGTTTGCTCATTTCAATGAAAATGTGCTTGATTTAATTGAAACAAGTCTTTAAAATTTTTATTTTATTTTTTATTTTTTTGCTTTGTAACTATGTAGCCTTTAACACATAATTGGGCAAAATCTCCACAACAGGCAGCTTTCTGCCTGGCTCTTCTGTGGTTACCGAGTGTGAGGCACACATCAACCAGCTAAGATTGCTTCCATGAGTTTCTTTCTTAGGACAAGAACGTGTTTTCCAGAATTCTTTGGCAGCTGTCCTTCAAGCAGTATTGGTTAGCACTGGTCATATGCTGTTTTCCAAACTAATCCTGGGAAGGAACCGGTCCTGACCGATGCATACAACTTGCATTGATCCCTAGCCAGAGTGGGAGAGGGAGGAATGGTCACAGTGAGGTGTCAGGACTCAGCAAGAAGGGCCAAAGAAAGAAAATTTGCAGAGTGGTTGGGAGCACATCCCCTTCCCAGCTGGATTAGCCTGGGCTCCTTTCCAGGCTTAGCTAAACTGCAATTTCCAAGAAAGCAATAGGGTGTGTGACATATACCACGTAGTTAAAGCAGCTGACAGTGCTTTGCATTCTTCAAAAGATGTGCTCTGTTATTTTAGTGCTGCTGCTGCTGCTGCTGCTGCTGTCATTAGTAATGATGCCTTGACTTCTGCCACCCATGGGGGTTGTCATAAGGTGGAGTGTCCTTCTTGCTAAGGAAGGAATCCTCTCCTATCTCTGTGCGAAAGAAGAAAGGTTCTTGTAAAGACTGCTTTCCCCTTCTGCATGCTTCTTGCCTCAGTTTCCTTTATGAGGCACTCAGCCAAGCCTGGGATTTGAGAGGTGGGTCCTGCAAATGCCACGGCGGTGTCTTGGTGCTGGGCACGTTTCCTTCCCTTGCTTGCTCAGAACCCGCGCTAGGGCTGCTCCCCCCCCCCCCCCCGCGTTGCTCTCTGGGGGTGATGCCCCTGGGTAGGATCCGCGCCCTCGGGGCTTAAGGTTAGGAACCGAAACCACTCACTTCTCTATTTAATACTTTCCTCGACATTCATGGCATTCACCGATGAGTCAAGAGCGCCGGCGACACTGCGGAGTAGCGTGGGTGGCGGCGTCCCGCCTGGCAGCTTTGCCCGCCGCCGGGGGAGGAGGAGGCGCCGCGGGCCGCTCATTACGCGGGGCCGGGCGGCCTGGCGCGGGTGGCGGCTCCCGGGGCCCGCGCCCGCAGCCTGCGGCGGAACGCGGGCAGGCGGCCGAGACGCGCCAGCCATTTGCATTCCCTGGCAGTCATTTTTATATGCGGAGGTAATGAAGTTGTCAGCGGCGCCCCGAGTGCGGCAGAGCCTGATATTCAAATCGCCTTGCGTTTCGCCTCCCTCCCGCGCCGCCCCCGTCGTCCCGCGAGTCCCGGGACTGCACCGTCCCCGCCCCGTCCCGCAGCACCACTGCCGGGCGTCTTTGTCTCGGTCTCCACTCTCCTCTCTCCCTTTGTGTCTGGAGAAACTCGGCGTTGGAGGGAAGCCCTGTTCCCGGTCGGGGGATCGCCTGTGACCCCGCGTCCGGGGGATGCTCGCACGCCTGTTCTGCAGCAGCCAGACCTCCACTCTCACACTGAATGCCACACAGTCCTGGTCCCCTCCCTCCCTCGGCCGCCCAGCTGTCCCTGCTCGCCTTCAGCATCAGCTCCAAGAAAGATGACCTAATCCTGGTGTTACCATTGGGGCCTAAAGACTTTCCCGACTTTCTGAATGCGTATTTATGGGCCTATTTATGATTACAAAACCCATATTGGACCTATCCACTCAGGCTGCTAAGAAAAGACTGGGGCAGGGTTGGTAAGAAAATGAGGTGGAAAGACAGGCACACTTGCTTAGAGTCAAGTAGTCATTTCTCCAGGCCCCCAGAGCTGGACTGCTCACCCGCATGTTCTGGCCACCTGGGACCTGCAAGTGTGGTTAGTCCAAATCCCTCTGTAGACTGTAAAAGAGACGCAGTGTAGGTAAAAAGGATGCAAGCGGATTCAGTAATCATTTTACAGTAGTGATTGGTTATTGGAAGGATCGTATTTTGGACATAGTGAGTGAAGTAATACATAGTATTTTAAGCACTTAACTGTTTCTTTTTATTCTTCAAGGTCTGTGGCTGTGAAGAACGTTTAGTTATGTGTGTAGCTCACATTCTATTTCTGTTGGGCAATGCTGACTTGGAGGCTGAAGACTCAAGGAATGAGCTCTGATTGTATCCACTCACTTTACTCTGTAGATGACTTAAAACTAGGCAGGGAGAAGGGAGGTCCTCGGCACCAAATGGGAGAAAAATTAGCAAGTGACTGTGTGGAAACCCCTGACAACAGGGAGCAGAGGCTGGGGCTTACATGGTAAGACTCTGTTCCCTTATTCTTTGTTCACTGTCCAGGAACTCACAGTCCTGGCAGCCATGCCACAATTCCATGGACCAACCGTCCGTGTATGAAGTTGGGCCTCTAGGAGTGTTTTGTGCCTTTTAGGAGTTATTTTTCGCACACTAAACTTGCTGACGTGCCATTTAGAAAAGTGAATACTGTGTATGCACTGTGACAACTATTTTGCAAGTATTTCTGGTGTGCATTGTTCCTCATCACGCATAGGCAGTAGAGTAAGAGCTCCCAGAGTATGCATTGACACGATGCGCTGCAAATGATCCGGCATGGGGGAGTCCCCGAGTGTGCACTGATTCCACATGCGGCCATAGCTCCTACTGGGCTTTTATGGTGGAGCTTGCCAATGATCCGTGCACTAAAGACTCCCGGAATACACATTGACAGGACAGACTGGAGCTGTTTGGGTCTATGGCGGCAATGATCCGGGGATAATGGCCGTATCTTGAGATTGAGTGCTCATGGTCCTAATGGCAGGACCAGAACTGCCCCAGTTAAGTCCACCCGTGGCTCCCAGTGCAGGGTGGGTCTTTGATCTCCTGCATTGTGACTCTGGCATCACCAATATTTGTTGGTGTTGTGACTGTTGCAACTAAGTTAGCATTTATTTTGCACATGTTTTTTTTTTTTTTGTTAACAGTTGGGGCCCATGTACTAGAGGCTTAACCTGGTTAATTCACTGAAATCATATGAAAGGTTATGTTTAAAGGGGAAAAAGTGGTTTTGGGAGAACATTCTTGGCAAATAGTTACATTTGAGAGAGAATTAATATAAAATAAATAACTTCAGTCTTGAGAAAACCTAGTGGCTAAACCAAGGTAGATAAAACAAAAAGTGGGTAAGGAGATAGAAGACACTCTAGAAATCACAAAAACAATTTAATAGTAAAAACAATTGTATGAAATAAAAGATAAAATCTTCCTCTCCTTTTCCTATACTAGTCCCTATTACAACCACTATTAATTTTTGCATATTTTTTCTAGTAATTTTTTGGCGGTCTTTTTGAGACAAGGTCTACCTGTAGTCCAGCTGGCCTGGAACTTGCTATGTAGACCAGGCTGGCCTCGATCTCCCAGAGATCTGCCTGCTTCTCCCTCCCAAGGACTTCTAGTAGTTTTGTGCATATACAAATGCATGTTTCTATGCTTTGCTTACACAAATGAGTTAACGGCAAACATTATTTTTCAATGTCTTATACTTTTAATTAATAATATACTGAACGTCTCTCCTAAGCACATTTAGATCTACTGTATACTTTGTAATGACTGCACAGGACTCCATGATGTAGATGTAACAGTTTTTAAACACATGCCATTCAACTATCATGGCAGTGAATATTCTCATACATTTGTATTTTCTGATTTGGACAAATACATTCATAGTATAAGTTTTCAGCAGTGGAAATGCTAGGGCAAAGAAATGCACAATTAAATGTTGATATGTATTTCCAAGTTAATCATCTTGAAGGTCAACTAAGAGTTATGTGTCTATTTTCCCACTCTGGGTCAAAATCCTGTTTTATCATATAGCATACTACTAATGGGTATATGACAGTGAATTTTCCCACCAAATATTCTGTTTAGCTTTTACAGTGAGAGCTCAGCCCTAGGCTCTGTGATACAGTGAAGTGTGGAAGTCAGACTACAAATAGGAAGTCCTGTTAGTCAAGATAAAAAAAATGGTTGAGTCACAAATCACATGGGGATCAGTTGAATTTTGGCAATAGCCTATCAACATTGGAGAATTAGAGTAAGATCACATTAATTCATCATTCAGCAGATATTTTTTGAGAGGTTATAAACAGAGTTCTCTTTTCATGGGCTGACAAGATGGCTCAGTGGTTAAAAGCACTGGCTGCCCTTGCAGGGGACTTGGGTTCAGTTCCTAGCACCTACATGGTAGCTAACCACCTGTAACTCTAGTTCCAAGGAATCTGATGCCCTATTCTGACCTTTGTGGGCACTACAGGGCACAGGGGCACTACAGGGCACAGGTGTACTTACATACATGCAGACAAAACATATACATAAAATAAAAATAAGCAAATAAATAAAAATGCAAATACTTCTCTTTTCATATTGTCAACAGCCTATGCTTTGACTTCTGAGGAAGTCACTGATAAGACATTGCTTCATATGAATGAAATACCAATTTTGGTTCTGTTAAAAATCTCCCTGAAGCCAGGCGTGGTGGCGCACCCCTTTAATCCTAGCACTCGGGAGACAGAGGCAGGCGATCTCTGTGCGTTCAAGGCCAGCCTGGTCTACATAGTGAGTTCCAAATGCAATTTGGAAAAAAAAATCTTGAATCTAAGAACTTGAAGGAATTATATAAAATTCATATTGGAAGTCAGTATGGGCTTAAAATAAGTCTTGGGTAAGAGGGACCAAATCATTGTCAGAACTTTGTGGGCCTGCAAGTCTTTGTTCAGATGGTAGAATCTTTCAAGATCTACCCCCACATGGTTTTTTGGCCATTGTTAAACAGCATGTTCTTAGACCAGTGTGAACAGAGCAGGTGGCAGAGTAGTCATACCGTCTCTAGGGCCAGGAAACGTGAGTATCTCTATACCAGCGAAGACCAGGAAATCTAAACCCATTTGAGGCATAAGCACCATGTGAAAGTAGAGATTGTTTATTCCCTAAATGGTAAAACAAGGCCCTAATTATCTTTCATGGCCATTTATCAAAGCTATTGACATTACCAAGAAGTTGTGTGGTAGGTATTTCTGTAGCTGTGTTATGACTGTGGAATTTGGCCCCTTTTTGGAGATGCTTGGAAGAGAAGGAAGATATAATTTTCAGATTTATGTTCTAAAAATGCTTATGTGGGCTAGGGAGACAGCTCAGTGAGTAAAGACTTATACAAGCCTGACAACCTTAGGTTGGATTCCCAGAACTCACAAAAAAAAAACTGGGCATAGTAGCACATGCACCTGTAATCATAATTTGCCCATACCGGGGGATAGGAGGCTGAGACAGGAAAGTCCTCAGAAGCTCCGAGGGCCAGCTAGCCTGGCAAAGGCAGCAGTGAACAAGAGGGACTTTGTCTCAAATGGTGGAAGGAGAAGACTCACATCTGAGGTTGTCCTCTCACCTCCACACATTCTTTATGGCATGCACACACCCATACTTACCACAGTCACACATGCATGTGCACATACATGTTTATGTGTCTCTGACATAACAAAGTACCTGGACTGTATCTAGGTGTTCAATAAAGAGTTTTTTTTTGTTTTGTTTTGTTGAGACAGTTTATTTAGCTAAGGCTGATCTTAATCTGTTTTTAAAAAAATTTTTTTGATACTTATTTTATGTGCATGAATGTTTTGCCTGCATGTATGCATGTTGTCCTAGTTTGTTTCTCCATTGCTGTGACAAAACACTCTGACCAGTACCAACTTGGGGAGGAAAGGGTTTATCTTACATCTCCCTGGTCACAGTTCATCAGGGAACCGAAGGTAGGAACTCAGGGCAGGAACCTGGATGCAGGAGCTGGAGCACAGCCCATGGAGGATCACTGCTTACTGGCTTGCTTCCCTGGCCCATGCTCAGCCTGCTTTCTTATGCAACATAAGCCCACCTGCCCAGGGGTGGCACCACCCACAGTGCGCTGGACCCTCCTACATCACTCAACAAGCAAGATGATGCCCCATGGACATGGCCACAGGCCAGTCCAATGAAGGCAATTCTCCAATTGAGGCTCCCTCAACCCAGGTGTGTCAAGTTGACACCAAAGCCATCCAGCAAACGTGTACCACATTCATGCCTTAATGCCTGAGGAATGCAGAAGAGGGCTCTGTATCCCCTGGAATTGGAGTTACAGATAGGTATAAGCTACCATCTGGGCTGGGGCTTCTGCAAGAACAACCTGGGTCCTCCGTAAGAACAACCAGTAAGTACTCTTAACCACTGAGCCATCTCTCCAGTCCCCTAGTCAGTGGTCTTAATGCTGAGCCATCTGTGTAGCCCCAGACCTTAATCTTCATATCCTTCTGCCCCCAACTCCCAAGTGCTGGAATTACAGATCTGTACTCTCATTTTCTATTAAATAATTATTGGCTGAGTAAAGGAATGAAGGAAGAAGGAGGGACTTCATGCTTAAACAACATAAAGGCTACAGAATGATTTTTACCTTCTATGCTAATATCTCTGTATGAGGAGAGAAATAATTATAAGCCCAAAGAACATGTAGATGATAAGACCTAACTACTTGTTACTAAATTTTTAAAAAGACAGAGAACAATTATGAAAAAAGCTAATAAATTTCTGAGCCTTTTAAATAACAACAAATTATTGCAAGATCATTCCAAGCTACATTTAAATCTACATATGCCATGATTAACTTGAAGTTTTAAGCTTCTAATATAACAAGATAGCTTTAAGTCACATACACCTAATAAACTATTCTGATGTCTTTTTTTTTTTCTTTTCTTTTTTTTTTTTTTTTTGGTCTTTTTGATACAGGTTCCCCCACTCCCAGTAGCCCCAGCTGTCTGGAACTTGCTAT